CCCCAAAACCCCAAAACCCCATAACTAAAACATTGATTAATCAGAAAAGAATAAAATTAATTGATGTAAAAGCTAATATAAACTATGTGGGTGAGTAAAACTTTTTAAAAAGTTATTTTTAATTCACTTCTTTCAGCCAAAATTTTTATAAGACTGATAAATTCAATTATTGAGATCCACTTTTAATAAAATCATCTTAGTTTGCTATTTCTATTTTGATTGAGACTCAGTACTACTGGAGATTATCCAACATCACAATTCAGCATTCTTGAATTATTGATATTTAGTGTTGGTCTTTATTTTTAATCATTGAATCTTTTGTCCTAGTTATCCTCTTTCTAATCTCTTTTATCCTATTTTTTCTTTATAATCTTTGAGTCTAATGGGCTGGTCAACTAATAAGTAACGTTAAAAAACATAGATTTCCTTACATCTTCGAAATACTCTTGCTATCCTGCATTTATTTATAAGTTAAGTTACAGAAATTTGTTTTACTCCTAAGCTAGATTTATTTTTCCCTCCCCGTTTGGACTTGCTCTATCCCCGAACTTTTTCTGCCTATTACTTAATAAGGAAGAGTCACCACCTTTGCTTCTAGATGCTGATTATGCATTTAAAAGAGTGCTAGTATTCTTAATAACTCCATTTTCAGTTAGTATTTTTAAACATCTCTCTTTAGTTGATTTGCCTATTGGGATGTCACTAACTTACTTCAAGAAATTTGGCATGTTAACAAACTCTGAAAATGCCTTCAACAGTCTTTGATCATCTTAGATAACTCTCACTAAAAACAATTTTTTAACATTCATCTTACATTTTAAGTTTTTCTTTTAATCTAGATCAATAATGTTTGAAACAAAGAGCTAATGAGAGAGGTACAATATCTTTGCAATATCAGTTGATAAACCTTCCATTAAATAGAATAGTGACTATAAGATAAAAAATATATATTAAAAATAAAACAAACACCTTGTATTACAAATTATGATAATAACAGCTTTCTTGTGTTTAGATTACCTTAGCGGGGTTTTGGGGTTTTGGGGTTTTGGGGTTTTGGGG